ACCTTCTGGCACAAAATTGGGCTCTCCGATCTATATCATGAGTTACCTAATTCATAAAGGCAGTCTTTCGGACCGAGAAGTAAGCCTCTTGATGCAGAAAAGGGTCTCCTGAACCCAATTTAGCACCCTCTAGCTCAGTTACTGCGGTCTGCTTGATTCGAATTTTGGTAGTGTAGGAAACCTATGAAGTCTTCAGTTTGAACAAAAGGTGCCTGCCAAAATTTTGAGGGGATTACATCATACTCTCACCCGTGCTTCCCGCCAGCAGGGGGCCCCGTCTGCCCCCTTCCTCCTGTGCCACCTGTGGTCGAACGCGCTGCCATATTTGAGAGTGCCACTACTGAAAAGGCACTACCCCCTTTTCTCCCACAGGACCATAACGTTGCGTGTTGAAGTCAAAACTCCGCACCATTATTGTAACTATAGAGAGACAACCCCTGGCAAAAGGTGGAAAGAGTCCCTCTGAGCCAAGAGATTGGGGAAACTTCCTGCTCTTCGTCCCACCGGTGCGATGCCTTGTGGTTTGTCCGGCGGGGGTCAAGCTAGAATAAAAAGGAGACTACCATCATGTGGATGACATCAAAACTTAAGCGATTGGAGCTAACTGTGTATGGAAGTCCGAATGCACGTGTCATGCCAGTCCACTGGATGTCCGCCGTTCATTGGTGTGGCAGTTGTGGGCCAATGCATCGATTGTATTGCCCGGAAATTGCCTGGCTGCGCGTGTAACTTAACATCTTCTCAAACCTACCGCTTCAGCCGATAAAATCTGCAGACTGACAATGGGTTACGGTCTCGCTTACCGTAATCGCAACTAAATGAAACACAATTTGGGGTGCGAATTGGTCACAGCGAGCTGCCTTTCACGCCTACAGAGTTCTCATGAGATTTTACTTACCGGTTTTGACGAGAGCGGGTTGTGTTCGAGACCGGCTTTGAGAAAGGCCACTTTTGGCGCTTCCAGGTCGATCTGGCGCATCTGTTGCCTGGACAGTGTTGATACAGGCCAGAGACTGTAGTTATCCAACTTTGAAAGCGCCCAAAAGCAGGCAGACCCAAGACTCGCTATCGAGCTTACGTGAACAACTGCTACTGCACTGATCAAACCACTTCATTGCCGTTTTACAGTGGCTCGTGTTCCTCCGTGTCCGACAGTGGAGATCACGTGGCAGTGCCACGCTCGGATGTCGGCCTCTTGGCGCGGTTTCGATGCGTGTTACGCGGCTCATATTCGCAGTTAGCCTATTATTTTTAGTTCTCACGTTTATCAAATGGAGCCGGCTCTATTTCACTGGTATTGCAATGCTGCATTAAAACGGCACCTGATAAAACGACTTGAACCACATGACCTTGCACAGCCTAATGCACTGCAGGTGCCCCGAGCCTAAGCAAACCCCGACCACCTCTAGATTTAGGTAACTGGTTGTTGGGTTGTAATGGCGCAACAAATGCAATGGTAGTTTGCGCCTAGATTCAGGTAGAGGGGCACTCGTAGCCGTGGGATGAGGAAAGCGCCCCATACATAGGCAGAGGCGTATCCGCGGTCTGTAAAGGGGCACTCGTAACCGTGGGATGAGGAGAGCGCCCCATACATAGGCGGAGGCGTATCCGCAGCCTGTAGAGGGGCACCCGTAACCGTGGGGTGAGGAGAGCGCCCCATACATAGGCAGAGGCGTATCCGCAGTCAACGAGAACCAATGCCGACAAAACTAGGTACCTAGGTGCTCCAAGCTCACCGAGAGCGTGCCTACATACGAGGCGAGAGAACGCACGAGAACGTGCGCACGCCATCCCCACGGGGAGGCGCGCTAATAAAACAAGCGTACATACACAGCGGGCTTGTCTGGCCCTATTTTGTCTGTGGGCAGATGGCAGCATCCCAGAACCCTGTTTAGGATCTCACCAAACCAAGTGCAGAGAAGCTTCAAATTAAAGTATGAGCCAAATTAAAGCATGAATACAAGTTCAAGGTCGGACTAGACAGTACCATAAGGGAAGCACTTGTAAACCTAAGAAGGGATCAGTAACGGCGACCCTAATGCCAATTATTTTCTTTTGAAGTTAGCACTTCCGCAAATGATGCTTCCATGACCGCGAATACCTACATTGCCCGGTAAAATCCTCTGCTCGTATGCATACTTACACCTCGATGAAAGTGGCGTGTTTAATCACGGCTTTAAGCAGTTAATTGACGTCTGATATAAAACTGCAATCCATCCTTCCATTGTTTCAGCAAGGTTCCCTCCCTCCGCCACGTCAATTCAAAACAGGTGCACATTTATTATATATATATATATATATATATATATATATATATATATATATATATATATCCCAACCACCAGACGACGCAGACAAATAGCACCAGATTTTGACGTAAAGCCTGATTGGCCCTGCGCACTGATCCTGCCCACTTCCCCCAAGGCTCAATCAAATTATGCGCACAACTCTGAAAGGTCTCCCAAAAAACAACATTAACCCATAACCGCTCTCCCCTTTACAAAAACGATGCGTGCGCGCCTGACTCGTGCCCCTGTGATGCCGTCATCCAGTAGCACAGGCAGGGGCGGAGACACGTGGGGCACATGCATCCTCCCCTTTGGACCCCAGTGCCCGGGCAGCCATTGAGGTTTTACGACGCACTCAGCTATTGAGGCTATATAGCGTCGCCCGCCTCTTACCATGGCAGGAAGGGCGGACAGCGCGGAGAGTCGAACCCCGCACCTCTGGTTTCTCAAACTCGCAGTGCTTCACGTAGATGCGTTAACCACTACACTTTCAGCACGCCGGTCCCCAGTGCCCCAAAGGGCCCAACAGCACCTACAATTAATGACGCAAAGGAAATGAAGTGCTGGCCGGAGGACACATCAAGGGGCCCGAGGAGGGACCATTATTCTGAGGGACCGTTTCCCAAGCAGGGATAAGGCTGGGGACCACGGTTTACTTGATCGGAGCCCCTTCCAATAAGAGGCTACCGGTATCGGCCAGCGGCCACATTGCCAAACAGGGGTCCTATGTTGGCAAGAGGCCCCAGGTCGGTCAGGGATAACGGTTGCGGAGTTTCGAAGAGGGGCCAAGTGGCCTCTCGGGGCCTGTGATCAATGCCCCGATTGGGGGCCGAAAGGCTCGTGATCCGGCACGTTAAGGACCCCAGCCCGTGCGGCCGGAACCTCTAATGCCATGCAGAGGGCCTCCTGCGCCGATTGCGGACCCCCTAGAATAATGCGGGTCTGTATTTTCGTCAGAGGCCACAAACACCGAGCAGCCGGCTACATGTCAGTCTGAACCCTGAAGGCCCATTTCCCAAGTATGAACAAGGCCGGGGCCCGCAATTTGGATTGATCGGGGCCCCTAAGACAATGACGGGCCCCTGTGTCCGTCAGGAGACCACAGTGCCTGTGTTGGCAAGAGTACCCGAGTTAATCACGGGAACATTTGCTGAGCATGGACAGGGAAGAGGCCCCGAAAGCCAAGAGGGCCTGTTGCGTTGGTCAGGGCGTTTACCAATATAAGGAGATATGAGTACTTATGAGAGACCACCATGAGACAATGGAAGGGTCCTGTGTCCCCTACCGCTCTACTCAAGGGGCCTCTTGCCCGGAAAATGATGAGGGGTCTCATTAGTGTTTAATAATGAATCGAAATGACGTCTAAAATGAAAAAAAGACAACTTATGTTTGTTTGAGGACATGCAATCGTTTGCAGAATTGATTAGTGAAATAAATTATATACGCAAGTTTTGAGCTTGCGTGCTCGCAATCTTAGGGGCAAGAATATGAATGACGGGTGTTGTAGTTTCCGTAAAACCTAACGGAGCTGGTCGCCGCGACTAACACCAGGAAGCGGGTGCAGGGCGCGAGTTATGGTCGTTCAGGATTAGCTTGGGCGTATATGTCGCCTGTATAACTTCGAGGTAGTCCTCTGGACAGAATAACAGTTTCTGCGGCACAAAAATAGATTCTACCTTTGCTGTTTAGTTTCACCAACAGATTCCAGAACCAGCTGGCGGTGCTCTCAATGTCAATCCATTCCTAGCATCAATCTACAAATAGCGCAGGTGAAATACACGCCAGCACGCACACGTACACCTACACGTACGGTTTGATGTCCTAAAACGTGCAAAGGCACTTCTTTCAAACGCGCCGTAATTTTCGTCCGCCCGCTGGCCGCCACTTAGTTTTAGCCACGGAGCCGATACCCCTCGGCGTTAGAGACTATAACGTCAGGCGTCAGTGTTCGCAAGACTTGAGGGCTGCGAGCGCGCATCTTCAGAACGATGTTGCATATTCTGCCTTTGTCAATCTTAAACGAAGCTTGACCATGTCCCGAAAAACCTGGGTTGGGCGTGTTGGCCATGTTAATACAAGTTTTTAACCCCATTTCGACCTACAATCTAGGTTCACGGGGTCCCCAGCATTTCTGTCGAATCCAGAAAACTTATGGCGAAGCGTCCGAATGCGAGCAGCTTCGAATGGGTCCATTAAGCCATTGTAAAATGAGCAGCATCAACAGTTTATTGCGTGCAGCCGGTTGAGCATTCTTGCAGTATGCAGTTTCCTTCAGTTTATTGACTTGAGAAGACTATCATTGCATTTCCCGACGTCTTTTGGCTTCTGTTCAGCAAAAGAAGGTAAACATACCAATGCAACGGAAACTCGCAACCCTCGAAATCAAGGGGATGCGAATGAGATCGCGATTACGACTGCAGGGGCCGTGATTGGTGAAGTTGTTTTCTATTAGAGGTGGATCAACATTAGGCGACCGTTTGTCGATTCCGCTCCCTCCCCCCCCCCCCCCGCCACTCCCTTATCAAGGCTCTGGTTGCGTCCAGCCGTTACAAGTGCAGAAGCCCATATGATCAATTCAGGCCTCAGAATCCTCATTCTATACATGTTCAGAAGTGACGACGCATCAACGCGGAATAATGGACAACTGTCCTGTTTTACCACAGGCTTAACCCCGACACTATTCATAGCATTCCTCAGAAAACAGCCTTTTCCACATAAACTCTTTTATTTAGCGATAATCGACACTAAAACCTGGAAGAACGAAACAATCGTGCTGCAACACGGAGCCAACACCGCCCAGCAGCAGCGCGTGGATGGTCCAACATTTGTCTTTGTACCACGGATACCCCTCAGTGCCAGCCCCACCAGGCAGTCATCTTACGCCCCGCCCCTCACGCGGCCCTTCTCGTCACAGCAGCCGGTATCACTCGGTCACACAGGCGCCTGGCGCCGCGCGCACGGAATAGGTGCAGGGATCACATAATACATGATAAATTCCCGCGCAGCACGGCTAATTTCAGGTAGATCTAGTTCGCGATACCGCCGCCCGGGCGGCGCCACCGTCGGGAGGGCGGGCTACGCCTTGCACGTCTCATCGTCGAACAGTGCGCGCCCCTTGGTGCCGAACGCCTGGGCCAGGTGGCCGGCGTTGGCCAGCGCGTGGTAGCTGTCGACGAAGGCGCGCAGGATGCGTTCGAACGCATCGTACTTGTGCACGGCGCGCGCCGTGTTGGTCAGGTCGAACGGCTCTGTCGGCACGGGCGGGGCCAGTGTGAGCGGCCGTTCTCGGTTCACGGCGGCACAGAATTGACGCGGTCACGCTCTGTGATCCACGCAAAACCGCCAACACGTTAACGCCGTATGTCTACACAGGTTGGAAATGCAATATGCTTGCGCACGCACCCCGCCTCACAGCTGTTTGATTGGTCCCGCTGAAGGGAGCTGACCCTCTCCTGGGAGGGAGTTGACGTCCGCTCTCCAGCGCCGTGCCACGGGGCGAAAGCAACCCATCCGCCAAGTCATGGGCACTGTGTCCACCTCATTCGAATCCCAAAACATGTAACTCAGCGCGCAAATTCAATGCTGAGTCCTTAACCGCGAAACTTTACCAACGTTCCGAGCTCGCCAGACCGGTCCGCTGCTGCGCCCCCCCCCCCTCGGAGCACCCCGACACCTTCGCCTGCGGTCTTACCTTCGACACAGACGTACTTCCACATGCCCGGCGCGTTATTGTACGCCACCACGGCGCGGCACTGGTACTTGTGGAGATACGACGCCGTCCTCACGGACGCCACTTGCGTCTGGAAACTGACAGAGGACGTATAATGACGTGCGGGGGTCTCCACATGGGCTTGGAGAGGTCACGTGGTATAAACATTCGTAAACCACCGTCAGCCTAACCAGCCAGAAGAAGTCGAGCTTCAAAGCCCGACAAAGCTCCCTGGCAACGAGCTACTCTGCACCCAAAATGGTACCAAAATCAGGTACGTTTTCTTCCTTCTGCGAGAATAGTATTCCAACATCATTTTCCTGAGTATATTTTTGGGCTCCAAAACACCACACGCGGAGAGATACTAACGATCTGCACGAACGCTTTCCACTGCTCGAGAATGACACTTCAGTTGAGGGAGGCGGCGTTTTGCAGGGATGATATTTAGAATCAGCGTCCTTGCTCAGCGTGGCTTGTCGCGCAAATCACCATATCCAAAATCAGAGGGGCAATCACACTTGAACAGACAATTTCGACCGAACGATCAAAAGGCACCACATGCACTTGGCAACCCTGTGCCAGTATGGCCCTCTCAAGGCCGGATGTCAACTGACGGTCTTTGACGATCCCGGTAACCCGACGCTAATCCTGGAACACCAACCAACACTGTCTGCCGCTGGTGGCCTGGTGTCCGGCACTCGGATCAACTGGGCTACGGGGCGGCAACATGGGAAATGTTTCAATGGCATCTACTCATTCATTGTCGAAGCCCGACACCGGCAGCGCTCGCTGCGCCTGGCGCCGGCTGTGCACCACCTCCCAGGCCTCTGTTCGGCACTAGGGAGCCCCAGCACACCGGTCAACCTCTATTCCAACGGCATGAACTGACTGACTCGAACTGACTCTGACTCGAACTGAACTCGAACTCGAACTGACTCGAACTCGTAGGCGTAGTAGCGCAGGAAGCCGAGGAACAGCTGGCCCAGGCTGTCCGTGTTGCGCGACGCCACGTGCGCCACGCAGTCGTCCTTAGGGATGGAGCGGATCGGCTGGCCCGGCCGGAACTTCGCCTTGCACATCCGCTGCAGGTTCGGCAGCACGGCCGGACGCACGCCGCCTGGCGGACGGAGCGAGAAACAGTCAGGCTGCCTGGCGGACGGATTGGGAAGTAGTCTGTGGAATGCCCAGCGATTTATCAGGGCCCGGTTTCTCATTGGCTCGCGCCCCAGCGTCTGGCCCTTGAGGTGGCGTCACAAATATAAGCCAATAAAGAACGCATGAAATTCAAAATATGGGCACAGACGAATCGGCTGATTTAACCTGATGTAGACATATACCGCGCAGGAATGTCGCACTTGAATATCATTCCAATGGACAGTTATTGGCAAGGTGTGTGGCCCGACATCATTGCCGATCGCACTATCCAAGTGCCATCGACAGTTTCAAATGATAAAGTGAGGCGATCAGAAAAAGTGGAAATCTCTTGCAACGACAACTATGCAGCTTCAAATGTAAAGTAAATATAACGCTTCACGTCGTAACAATCTGATGCGATGGATCAGATTGGTTTATGCACTTCCCAGTGTTTAACTTGGATCGAAAAAATGGTTGCAGCAGACTGCGCAGTGTGGTTCGCTTCAATTTTAGACCTTTTAATACCTTATTAATGTAGTGCAGAAGCATTGAGCAAATGGTGGAACAAGCAGCACGAAAATCCACATGAGATTGAGACCTGCATATCTGCCAGACATACAAGAACGTCAGCAGTGCACGGAACACCAAGAGGCGTTGTGCGTCAACAGTGAAAACTTGCTTGTAAACAAAGCCCTAAGTTTACCTCTCGGCCGAGTAGGGAATAGGCCTGGGCCGTGGCGTCATAAACGGGTTAACCCGAAACAGGGCATGAGCTTCCATCTACCAATGAAGGGTGTGCTTCGGGAACCCGTTCTTCCTTGGCAAGTGGAAGCCTAAGCCTTCCTTCAGGGTATGCCCATTCCTTTCCTATGACGTCCACGCCCAGGCCAATTCCCTACCCAGACGAGAGGCGAAGTACGTGCATTTGTTTGCAACTGATTCATCGATGTTAAGGCAGCAACACTTGGCAACGGTCTATATGCCGTTGACGGTCTTGCGTGTCCGGCAATTAGGCACGTCCCGATCACATGTGGATAGTGTGATCCCAATGATGCCTTTAGCCACAGAACTTGCCAAGTAATGTTCGTTGGAAGAATGTTTGAGAGCGCCATTCCTACGCGGCGTATGTCTCCATGGGGTTGAATCAGCTGATTCTACTTATGCCCACATTTTGAACGCGAGGTGTTCGTCACTAGTTTACATCTTTGACGCCATACATTGCTTCCTCAATGGATGGAGCCTAGGTGTTAAGTGAATGAAGAGCTGGGTCCGGGAGCCGGCGACGCTTGCCGGCGGAAGGGCAAGGCCACCTGGCGGCCAGATCAGGAAACACTCGGCCACCTGGCGGACGGGCAGGAAAACGCGACCACTTTTTTGCCTAGCGGACAAGGTATGACAGTGCCGCCACCTGGTGAACAGATCGGGAAATGTTATATCACGGCGGGAAGCAGCGAAGAACTGATGGCCAGATCCGGAAATAGCCTTGCCCTTTAAAATATAGCCCCAGTAGCAATGCCTTGCTTAAAGATGAGCCTACAACGAGAAACATATCACCAAAACTGGCAGCATTATGAAGACTATAATTCTGAAACCATGCCATCTCTCACAGCAGACACGCAAGCAATGACTAGCATCATGTGCTTATATATCACGCGCCGGGGCCCCGCCAGTTCGCGTTGATGTCACGCGTCACGAGTTACACAAGAGCATGAGACCTGAAGCTGCACACAGCACGAACAAAACGCGACGCGCGGAGGACGTCGCCACAAAACTGACCTCGCCGACACCAGTCGGCTGGAGGCACGCCGCCAGAGTCCGACCAGTCCGGCGCCACCTGCCGCGCGGTACTCACACTGCAGGAAGTGTATGACCATGAGCACCAGAGAGTATGAGCTGAGGGTGGCGCGGCAGGCGTCGTTGATGTCGTGCGATTGCGCCCACAGCTTGACTATGACGATCAGCGGACACACCCGCTCGTCCACTGCAACAGAGACCGGCCGAGGGCGCCGTCAGGCGACGGCCGGCCGGCCCGACACGGACGGCGCAGTCGCCGCACACTGCACGCCGCGCACGACACCAGCGGGCGCCGGCAGGTTCTGAGCAGCGATCCCAGCCTAGGACGGGCCGTGCTGACCCGGCCGCGCCGCGAAGCCAAGCGGCGCCTGCGGGTCCCGAAGGCCCGTCCCGCCCGCCGCTCCGCCGGAGGCTCACCGGCGGCACCGGGCGCGGGTCGGCCGGTGCCAGTGGGTCCCGAAGCCCCCGCTACGCCCGCCGTTCCGTCGGAGGCTCAACAGCGGCACGCGCCAGCGGGTCCCGAAGCCCCGGCCCGCCCGCCGCTCCGCCAGAGGCTCAACAGCGGCACCTGGCGCGGGCTGGCCGGCGCCAGCGGGTCCCGAAGCCCCTGTCCCACCCGTCGCTCCGCCAGAGGCTCACCGGCGGCACCAGGCGCGGGTCGGCTGGCGCGGTGCGCCAGCCGGAGGCGCCACTCACCGCCCGAGTAGCACTGCAGCAGGTGGGTGTTGCGGATGCCCACCAGGTTGTTGCAGTTGAGGTCCACCTGGATGCCGGTGGAGACGGAGAGGAAGCGCAGGATCGGCACCTTGGCGCGGATCAGCTCCATCCGGTAGTCCGGGTCTGCGGGGCGGCACGCGTCACACCGCCCATCACGGCACGCGGCACGCTCAAGCCGCGGCGCAGTGCCGCCTGGCGCGGCCGAGTGCGGTCAAATGTTAACATCTGACGGCATTATGTGCCAGCAGGCTTCAGAGCCCCCTTGCCCGGACCGACCGTGCGGTGTTCTACCTCGCCTAAAGAGACACTCTAGAGACTTAGTACCAACCTGCGCTTATTCCATTCCATGACATGGTTCACCACAGAAAAGCGGCAATGCCGACAGGCGTGTTATAAAACAGTAAGCTGCACAGAGAACTTCAGTCAAAAACGTGCGACTTAAGCAGCCTGCTTAGACATCAACCCTCGACGCGGAGGCCGCCACGCCTCAAGTTCAAGAGGCGGCACCAGCAATTCACTCGCGACATACCAGCATGCACCGCACAGCAGCCGGCGCTGCACGGAGCCGACGCGCACGCGACGGCTCGCTCCGCTGACCTTTGGCCAGCAGCCGCTCCACCTCCGTCAGGATGCGCGTGGCATCGTGCTGCTGGTCGATCCGCGACTCGGTCAGGAACAGGCAGATGTCGACATCGCTCGTGTCGCACGCGAAGCCCGTGCACGACGAGCCGACAATGTGCAGTTCACAGCGCTGGTACAGGTCCTGACGGCGGATGTGTCGCGTGACCCTGTGCTGCTCACAGCGCTGATAAAGGTCCTGATAGAACGGCATTCAAATGATCGCATGACCTTTTGCGACTCACTTCGCTCTCCTCCAGTGTTTGGATGCAAGAAATGCATGGGAGCAATCTCGAAAAATGAAAATGCTCTACGACATGCGAATTAACTGCAGGACTGCTTCCCCCTCCCCCAAACAAGGGCCAGACATACCACATATTGACGCATCGTTACCACGTGCACATACCCGTAGTGCCTCCCGTACTTTATCCCTGAGGACAAGCTTATTCTTGTACACAACTTCATCCTGGCGGCAAGATTCGAAAATCTTCTTGATCTGGTCGGACACCTAAGGCATAGACAAGACGAGATCAGTATCACATGCCATGGCTACTGATTTACCTCTGACTGTTGGTACTAGAAGATCTCTCGATCACGACGCAGCGCTGTCACGTGGACATCTGCACAAAATACATCAAAACACTTCATAGATATTTTCTCCTTTTCATATCCACACAGCAACGCCCACCAATTTCGACAAACTGACCAAGGCTGCGGAACACTCTTTACCTTTACAGCTTCAGCTCTACCCATCTCCCGCGTGCCGCAGCGGCCGTACCGTGTCGACGCCGCCGCGGCCGCCGGGCGAGCCGAGCGCGCCGGCGCGTCGGCCGCGCTTGTGGCGCTGGTCGCGCGCCGGGCTGACTGGCTCCGGGCAGCCGCGCTTGGTGCCCTGGCGGCGCGCGCCGGCCGACGTCGGCGTCGTCGGCCGCGAGCCGTAGCCGCCGTCCGACTCCGAATCGTCGTGTCGCTCCCAGCCGGCGGTCGACGGCGGCGGACGGCGGCGCGGCCTGCCGGGGCGGCGGGCACCGGTGAGAGGCAGCTCACTACGACCGGGCACGCCAGGCAGAGGCAGCCACGAGAGGGGCGGTGGCGGCCAGCGCCAGCGAGAGGCCGCACACTGAGGCCGGGCACGCGAGAGAACAGCAGCCACGAGAGGGGCGGTGGCGGCCAGTGCCGGCGAGGGGTCGCACACTGAGGTCGGGCGCGCGAGGGAACAGCAGCCACGAGAGGGGCAGTGGCAGCCAGTGCCGGCGAGGGGTCGCACACTGAGGCCGGGCGCGCGAGGGAACAGCAGCCACGAGAGGGGCAGTGGCAGCCAGCAATAGTGAGAGCCTGCACACTGAGGCCAGGCACACCCAGCATCTCATGTCTCCTTAATATGCCATATCTTCTTAAATGTGTTTCATTGCCTCACACACAATAGCAAATACAGGTGGCATGCTATGCAGCTGTTCCTCTTTGCAGTTATAAGCAGTCCTGTTATAAGGTAAGCAAAATTTCATGGCATAACTGTTCCACAATCACCCCATGAGGCAAAGGATGCATCTCACCGTAGAACATTTTGCCAGAGGTAGTTCATCATCTCCAATTCTCCATATGGCCTGGGGGCCAGCCGGTGGTATGGAGATCCAGGACGCATATATGGGATGGCAGGCGGTGGGGATGCAAGACCAATGCTCTGCAACAGGGACCAGACAAGCCATATCACTGTCACTTTACAAGTCAGTTATATAGCATAACCTCATTCATGCTGCTGGGAATCTCTTTCATGGCAGGTCTTGAGTCACTGACAGGTCCAAAATATTGAGTGTGTGGCATATGCCATACTTGGGAAGCTATCCATGCCATTAAAAAAAATAATAATACAGACTTCTGGAATCCTGAAACCTCCAGCCATCCTGGTCAACCAGTTACCAGAGTTAAAAAGCAATAACAGAGTTTGAAAACAAAAGATAAACCAGGAGTGAAAACAATGCTATGCTCAATCTCACCATAAAAGTAAAACAGAATATTACATGATTGTCTCAAGATGCAGAAGGTAGGCAATAAGAGTGTTGACATCTTTTACCTGAGAAACCATCCATTGTTGAGGCCAGCTTCTGTACATGATGCTACAGTGAAAAGCTCTCTGAGGGTTTCTGAATGGATTGAACAGAGCCAGACTTTGAAAACAAAGTCAAATGTCCTGCATTCCCAGACACACAAAGGATTTAGACAAGAAGAGTTTACTTCTTCAATTTCACATGTCTAGCTTCTTCCAGGACATGATATCTTGCCTTATTAATACATATGCCTGAAAATGGAATGGCGTGCATAAGTGATGAGATCAGTATAATAGGCATAAGGCAAGTAAGAAATATGAGCAAATCAAATTTGGCACATGTGAGGTTAAATTCCCATCCTTCTGGGGAAGATCTTTGAAAATATACATAACCTACTTTTTCAATTAAATATCCATTTACTGCACACACTAAACAAGCCCTTTCACACCCAAACAATGCCATCCAAAATGAACTGACATTAGTAAAGCAACACCTTGAAGAAAAGGACTTGCATAAAACCTCAGCATTTAAGTGGCATGCAATGCATGAAATGGCAGCAAATTTATGGTTACTCAACCCACCAACATCACAGGAGTGAAATGATAACAGGTTTTGAGCTGAGTGGACTACTTTTGTTTTCAACACAACCAATTGAAACCAAATGAAGTTCAATTTTCAGAGTGGCAAGAATCTAAGTACCCAACCCTCCTGGACTGTTTTATGAACCATGCAGTATGCACCAATCTATTTGGCATGCCTATCTCATCTATCAATCAACTCATTCCAACATATCCAATGGAATTAGATATCTGATGGAATCAAAATTGCCCAGACCTAACTTTTCAAGATAGTCCGGACTCGTTTCCCAGAAAAAGGTACGGAGGGATACCAGCTTGGGTCTGAATGATATAGGAATAGACAGCATATCATAATTCCCCACGCCGCAAGCCAAGCCATTAACTTTGGTGTCTAAGCTGCACATCATACCCCTGCCCCACACTTCCACAAACCAAAACGACAGAAATGCGCTGTAACACTCCTGCGACCTACCACCACGTACCCACCACTTTTAAAACAAGTGCAACCCAGCGCCAGACGACGGCAGGGCAATGATACCAGTCGATGCCACCCCCACACATGCGTCACCAAGGATCAGCTGAAGAGAATATCAGCTGCCAGCGTACGATGAGCATTTCTTCTTTTGTTTTGATCCCCACGCAATGATCGCGCCTTCAGTAGAATTGTGTTTGGATAGCGGTGGATAACGGAAATGTGCTGGAGAGACAATTCAGACCGGGCCTTTTATTGACCACCAAATACATTTTCTGTCTATAGTTCTGCTGATAAGGAAATGCGCATGGAAATGTCAAGGTCAAATAGGGGCTCGCCACCACATGTATGATAGGCATGGGACAAATCCACGCAACGTCCACATGGGAAACAATGGAATTGCCTCTCTTCATTCCCCATGTGATGTAGCACATAGGTCCAAGTTCAGATATGTAGTCCGCAATATGCCTACGTATATCCGTTAAAGTTCTCTACAACGGCTTATCCCATTAATTATGCCCTGTCCTGCCATTTCAAGGCCCATAACACACATGTCATATGGTTATTGGATGACATTAGATGCATTTTACAACCAGAAGGCTCCTGAAATGCTACACTTTCAAGACGCTCCATCTTTTTCTGTCGGTCGCTTCTGACTATTTCAAAGCACAAAACATTTGAGGTGGATTCACTGAGAAGTCTTTGCATTAGGATCGGGGACAGTCACCATTTCCGCCTTGCTTCTTTCCACTCGGCCTGTGGGGATATGCTTTTAAGTGCGTGCATGGCTGGGGAAGGCTGCTACCCCTCTGCTTCTCTGATCCGCCAACACTGATTTCTTAACCCATTTCCTACCCTTTAAAAGCACTGGACTGTGTAGCCTTTGCACGACAAAGCCCATATCCCCGTTAATTTTATCTAGATAAGCTTATTGAACACAGCAGCAGTGCTAACATGCTTCGACCCCATTTCAGCAGCACCTTTGCTATCTTGGGAATTGTGAACGATCTGTAATGCTCTCTAGCGTCTTCGGAGCCTCGGCCGTCTCAGCGCTGCGCGAGGTTCGCTGTACACTTGTACAGGGTACGAGATATCCGAGGACAACGAGAGCTCAGTTGAGGCCCGAGTACCGTCAAGCAGTCAGGCGGCCATGCTAGCCAACAACCGTGATGTCGCTGACGAAGTTATCACCATTGCCATCTCCGAGGCGATGGATGGCTCGAAACGGGTTGCGGGAAAAACTGCTACATACAGTACAAAACATAAAAGTTTCACAATATATATATATATATATATATATATATATATATATATATATATATATATATGCATACATATAAATGTTGTGCGGAAACAATTTATGAGGCACAGCTTGTATTCATAAGATTGTCAGGATACAGCGCGTAAGGTACAAACATAAGGTACAAGTACAGGTAGGGTACAGTCGTAATGTCCAACACTTGCATCGTAAAAAGTTGGTATGAGGTTAAGTTCACATGTAAGAATGTTAGCATGGTAAAATGTTCGTCGGGAAAAGCGCGCAACGAAAATGCTCATGTGGGGAAAACGTCGTATAGAAAAAGGTCGTGTGTATCTGTTCATACTCAAACAGTTCGCATGGAAAAGCCCTATAGCCCTATGCTCCAGTTCGTGTGCTGATTTATGATGCAAACACGCAAAGTTAACTCGCAAATGTTCGTCAGGGATTTCGTTTTACAAAAGTGCGTACGTAAAAGTTCGAGAGCCGATGTGGAATGCAGATGCGCAAGGTTCATATGATAATGTTCGTCACGTACATGATTGGTGTGACAAATGTACTTACGCAAAAGCTCACACTGCAGATGCATAATATCAGGACGAATATAGATCCCATCAGTGGCACTGGGCCCCGGATGGACTGTCATATGCGGATCACCACGTCAGTTCAATAGGGGACGGCGGTGCGGGCTGGTGGTGTACAGCGACAATAACATGGGTTAAATCAAGCATTACGACCAGCTTGGCTGTTTATGATATGAAATTAAACGCTTGTCGGCAGGCAAGCAAATGAACCCGAATGAATGGGAGAAGTGAAAAATGGTTCCAGGAGGAAAAGCGTATAAAGCTGAAAAGTTCATATAAGCACGCCAATCTCAAATCACTCGCTGTGTTTGTTGCGCCTTTTTCTCTCTCTTTCTCTCTCTCTCTCTCTCTCTCTCTCTCTCTCTCTCTCTCTCTCTCTCTCTCTCTCTCTCTCTCTCTCTCTCTCTCTCTCTCTCGCTCTCTCTCTCTCTCTCTCTCTCTCTCCTCTCTTCTCTCTCTCTCTCTCTCTCTCTCCTCTCTCTCTCTCTCTTCTCTCTCTCTCTCTCTCTCTCTCTCTCTCTCTCTCTCTCTCTCTCTCTCTCTCTCTCTCTACTCTCTCTCTCTCTCTCTCTCTCTCTCTCTCTCTCTCTCTCTCTCTCTCTCTCTCTCTCTCTCTCTCTCTCCTCTCTCTCTCTCTCTCTCTCTCTCTCTCCTCTCTCTCTCTCTCTCTCTCTCTCTCTCTCTCTCTCTCTCCTCTCCTCTCTCTCTCTCTCTCTCTCTCTCTCTCTCTCTCTCTAAGGGGGGAACGGGGTCATACCCCTCCCCCCCACCTTAGGCTCCGAAGGGACCAGTAGCCGGCCAGTTTGATGCAGTTTTTATACAAAATGCAACAAAATTGAACATTTAATTTTGAATTGAACAGTTCAACCGGTGCAGTTTTTATACAAAAT